AGCTAACATGGAAGACAATACAAGGCAGGAAACATGGATACTACCCATTAACAAGGAAGAATCCATTAAAAAAATTTAACTGGGAAAAGGGGTTCTGAGCCTGCCCTACTGCACCTTTTCCACTGTACAAATAAAAACACAGTATTGGAACTTCTTCAGGATGAAGCAGTACTGCAGAGATGTACAAAAGCTTTCACACCAGTTACATGCACTGGGCCTGGATATAGGTAGTGCCAAGTCATTAGCACTAAATTCAGCTTTCATTTTAAGTTTCCCAACTCTCTACCAATTGTAAAACTGCAGCTGCCAGGAACTTGCACCCTGCAAGAGTTTCTCCAAGTTGATTCTCTCAGACTCCACTCAGTATATAGACTAGTTACCAGAAACATCTTATTGATCGAAGGGATCTTTAGTAGCTACGAGCCACATACAGTAGTTCTACTCAAAATGACCCTGGCATGGGCTTTTTTCCTCCCTTACAACTGAACAGACTGCTTCTGTTAACAGTAGCAGGAAGCAAGGCCTACATAGCAAGAGAAGAAAATAAATCAATTTGAAAATGATTAGACAAGATCAAGTTGATGTAATGCCTAAATACTTCTGCTTCTGTCAAGCATATTTGGACAGGCAGCCCTTGCAAGGGCCAAGAACCCTTTTGTCATGGGCAGGCTCCTAGTACAGACTCTTTTAACTTAGCCCTCTATGCATCTTTCATTTGGAAAACAATATTATTCAGAAACATGAAGGGAAGAAAGAATAATTCTTCAGACCAGTTACTCACATGGACAATGCCAGGTAGTGCAGCCACATTCCCAATTTGTTTCATGGCAGGCAGGAAACCACCAGCACCTGAAAGAAGACAGCTAAAGGCTCATGCAAGGAACCTGAATCATATAAGCACATTTTGAGTTTCTGGCTCAACTCTGGGTAACCTTTGCTCATTACTGATTTGTTCCAATCTGACACCCCACACTTTAGTGGTGGTAAAGTTTCACTACCCACAGATTTCCTTAAGTTCTCCTGCTATTGTTTTGTACCAGTGTAGGGATGCAGATTTTTTGGGCTGACACTGATGGCCAATTATTAACAAGCCATATCAGCCAATCCCAATCCGATTGCTGATATGCAAGCCTGGCAGC